AGGAGGGGAGTCGCTTTCGTCCGAAGACATGGTCAAAAAATCCGATGGTGTGTTAGGAATCGAATGATGTGTCTGTCTCGCGGACTCGGGCGAGGGTTGCTGCTCCCCGCTGCCATTTGGCTCAGAGGGCACCGATGCTGACAAATCCTCGGTCACAGGGGCCAAAGATGTGGCAGTGGCGGCGGCAGGCATTGCCGCAGCAACTTGAGCAAAGGAGCGAGGGCTGGATGGCGTGCGAGGAGTGCGGGGAGAAGCATTGGAAGTGTTTCCGAGAATGGGAAGTTGCTCCCCGCCGCCGTTTGACGTCCTGGTCACTGGCTCGGCCGCGGGCACGACGGCACGTGCCGAAGACTCGGTCGCACCGGCAGCGGGGGACGTCGAGGGCACATGAGACGAGGCACGGGCGGTAGAGGCAGAGTGGCGGGCGCGAGGGCGAAACGGGGTGGTCATAGGGTCAGGGAAAACATGGTTACGGTCGTGGCGAGCGCTGCCATGTTTCGTGTGTTTCGCAGAACGATGAGTTTGGGAAGGCGAGGTGGTGGTGTTGCTTGGAGGTGACTCGGCACTCGGGCGTTTAGCACCGCGGACCTGGGTCCAAGAATCCTCGCCGCCGGACTCAGTGGCCATGTCCGCGGGGCAAGCAAGCGAGCAAGCGAGCGGACACGGTGGGAGCGAGGGCGCCGCCAAAACGCGGGCCGCAAGGAGCGGGGTTGCAGATTTTGTCTGACAACGTGGTTCACGCCAAGATGTCAGAAAAAAAAAACTAGTTGCCCCGTCACAAGCCAACGGAGACGATCGTAAAACATATTGCGCAGGTCAATCGTAGACAGTGCGGTCGAGGGAGCAGACAACAACATGCTAGGCAAGGCCAAAATCAAAGCCCAGCACATCTCTCGCTCTTCAGCGGTATAGTCCGAGTGGACGGCAGACCAATACAGCTGGCTCAGGGTGGCAGCCATCAGCTTGGTCTCGGTGGCGTTGGATGGGTAGCGGCTGCGCTGCATCAGTGGATGCCGGGCGAGCTTGAGCAGCTCACAGACACTGACGCGAGACCCTACACACTGTTGGGGCCAAGCGCCACGCATAATCTCAAGCAGGTCGTGTCCAGCCGCATGAAACAACGCCTCGGTCGCTCGCTTCAGATTGGCACCACATCGGGAGCGGTGTTGACTGATACCAGCAGCTTCGAAGAAGAGGTGACACTTGTTGCACTGGGCGACCAATTTGGCCTCCATCACCTGCTTGACCAGATCAGTGGCTTGCTCGTCGTAGGGGTGCTCGCGTAGTACATGATTGACCCAGGCTTTGCGGTCAAGGCGGGGCCCCTTGCATTTGCAAAGCCCAAATGGGCAGGCGAGGAGTTGCCTGTGGCCAGATGTCTTCAGCAGGACCTTGCGCTGGGCATCCAGCACGTTGGCAGCGATGGGCGGAG